TTCTATGAGGGGCTGAGGGTGTGTAAAACCCTTCCCCTGGACTGGTGGAAGTGATAATTGTTTTTCTTCTTGCTGTAGCTGATGTTATCCATCTTCTTATCTTCCTCACAACCCCACCACTACTGACTCCACATACACTGAAGACTTGAGTTCGCTCCTCTCCATTGTAGAGATAACTATTTTCTGAAGATAGTGGCATGTTTAGGTTTCATTCTCTTTCCAGGTACACTCCATGGGGAAATGACAGCTTTACTATCTTTAAGGGTGAATCACCCTTAACAAAATTAGCCAAATTAGCTGACTGGAATACTAGTCTGCTCATCTGGTCCACTACCCTCTCAGAGAACAGCATGTAGTAACATACTCTGGCGCTCAGTGTAAACTGTCAGCATTCTTCCCAGGAGGCAGCTCCTCTTGCTCGACATCAAGCTGACTTCAGGCCTAAATCCTACCTTGCTTCAATCCTACCAGGTCAACAGCTGGAAGCTTTTCCGAATATTTGCCACGTAACTAGCTAACGACAATGGCCACCAGCTCTTGGGTTCTTCCTCCTTTTTTCAAACACCATTCTTTTTTGAGTCACTATTCAACTATAAACATGTGTCACTCAATCACTATGTCACATTCACTGTCGTAAGATGTATCATGTACTTTGTCTCTTTTCTACAGAACCTCTTTAGTTCTTCAAACAATACTTCAACTGGTCACTAATAAAAATGCTCAAAAATCACACAAGTTCAGGGATGGCAAACTAGTGTTATGGATACTATTTAAAAATCAGTTGCTTTTGTAAGTTGGGCATTCACATGGTTGAGGTTTCCAGCTTTCCTGAAAACAATTAGAGTTAGCATCACTGGGTCTGCACTCTTACAAAATTACGCATCCTGGGGAATGTACTCCATAAAACTTGAGCTAGTGAAACAGCAAAGCAAAGATCCAAACTGCCAAGAGGCTAGATAGTAAGGATTATCGCCAGATGGGCCTTCCTTTCTATCTTATTAACTGGAAAACAGGTGAAATGGCAAAGCACCCACCTCAGTCTCTGATTAGATATCGAAGACCCACAAGACCTAAGTCTCTATCATTATGGGACACATTTGTGGCTGTGAATTTCTTAAAACAGATGACCTTTCAAGAAATAAAAATACTAGCATCTACAAGAACAACAGGTTAGAAGCCGGTCCTACACTCAAACTCCTACTCTGCCACTCTGTGATAATGCATGGACACCTAATAATCCTCTTCCTGATGATCCACCTGAATCAATGAGGAATAGCTTATGGTTAGCACAGCCAGGGATAGAAAGACCTGTGAAAAAGGATAGTCACTATTGGAAAAGGCAAGAAGCTAAATCTCCACTCTCAACTGCAACTGACTATATAAATTATGGCCCATCCTCATGCAGACATTAACAAGAATGAGGCACAATTACATATACAGACATGCAATAATCTCCAAAGAAAAGAGCAGATTAAGCATGGTGCAGTGCAGCCTTCACCGCTTACTGGGCTGGGCTGCAGCTTGGTGGCAGAGAATGCACTCAGAATGCATAAGGTCCTGGGCTATGTCCCTAGTAGAAAAAAAAAAAGATGAGCTATATATGTGTGCATATAAATATATCCTATACACAGTATATCTGTCAAAGGATATGCAAGAAGCTGGTTAAGAAACTGGAGTGCAGATGTAAAGAAATCACTACAGTTTAATTTTTTGATTTACAGACTGCTTTTCTTAACTGTTAAGTATGTGGCACATTTTAAAACTTTTTTCACAAGAAAAAATGGAGATAATTACATCAATGTACTCGAATTTTATCCAAAAAGTCCACATTATCAGTATGTTGGACTAGAAGGGAACAGTCAGCTACTACTCAGGAGGACTGCTGAGCAGAATGGGGGCCAGCTGTGCCTTCTGCCTTAGTCTTCGACCAGTGATGCACATACCTGCAAATGTGGGGAATGACACAATCTCATTTCAGATGTCTGTGACGCCATCTCTGACACTTCCGTAACTCTTCTTCAAGGAGTGGAGGATCCACTCATCTGAAGGCCACTTGGGACATCTCAGAGGCCACTTTCCTATCTTTCCAGTAACTTGTGAATTAACTAAGGATGTATGTGAAGCATATTTGCAGAACACCTTCGAATTCATTCCCAACTCCTGGGTTTAAAGTTAGCTTTTTAAAAAAAAAAAAAACCCCAAGACAAGGAATTATGTCACCCTTTACAAAGTTCTCACAGGCCAAACATACTTTACCTTCAACTTCATTTTACAAAGCAGATGATTTTCAAAATCTATAAACTTCAATAAGTCACTGAACTCCTGACAATACATAACAGTTTCTTAACAGAACATCAGAGTATTTCAACACTTTTATTAAGAGTATTGACTCGAATTAGTAGCTGAAGTAACAATTGCAAGAAGCCAGATTAGGTGTACTGGATAATATTCATACTTGATTTATTGACATTACTTAGCAATTTATTGGACAAAAGTCAAACTTTTTGTTTTTTATTAAGCACATTCCACAGTACAAAGCTGTCATGAATAATATCTGTACAATTTAACAGTTTCAATAGCTGTTCAGACACAAATTTATTTCAAACAGATAATTGGCAAACATAATTAATTACAAGTTAGAATTAGACTATCCCAGTGCTTTAAAACATTAATATAGCAGTAATTTACAGTTGCTCAATTATGGTTAGCAAAATAAAGTCCAGAGTACAGCCAGGAATTACTACTGTAATCCCAGAAAGTCAGAATTCCTTGGGTGCCAAAGTCCCCTGTGATAATTTAGTAGGCACAATTCAAAGGTTGTGTGCATGGTTTCCCAAGGAACAAGAGGAACTTCTATATTAAACATGCAAAAAAAAAAAAAAATCCATTCATTCAGAAATATCACCTCCGTCCCTCCCCCATTCCCTCTGGGCTTTCCTAGCCAGTTTGACAGAAAAGCTGTAACAAGAAGAGCGGTCAAAGTCAAATCACTTTCACAACCACTATCGCGCTTACAGCATCCACTTTATGGAGGTTTATTTTTATACTTTTGAGACTCAACCTCTCAAACACAGAAATTAGTAGGATGTGAGCAAGAAGGATATATTTAAGAAAAATTAAAAAGGCAAGAGAAAAATCAAAAAGCAAAGCCAACTCAACAAACAAACCACATACTCACACATTGATCCCCACACTCTTCTCAATCCAAAGGACAGAGTTCAGAGGCCTTTCCTAGGAGTAGAGTGTGCTTCTTCTGGAAGAGGGTGCATTCACAGGAGGTGACTTATTGGTCCTTTAAAATGGGATTGACATTTCTTGATCTTTGGAAACAATGGCAAGGGGCAAATCAAAACCTAGTACTGAAGGAGGAAAAAGGAATGCTGACCAAAGGCCAACATCCTTTCCATGCATGATTGAAGCAACAGTGCCATTCTAGGCTCAGGCTGCAGAGCACTTGAGAGCTTCGAGAATCTGCGGGGGCCACAGCAACAGGTAACAGCAGAGCTGACTGAGACAGGACTCCTGGGCCTGAGGCTTCACCCTGCTTGGGAGTTCCCTGCCCTTCACACCGACCTCTGGAGGAGCCTGACCCGCTCGATAGCTGCTCTGTAGCAGAGCAGGAGGTCCTGTCTACAGGGCCTTCTTATTCTTTCCTTCTCAGCGTTACAACTGCACAGAATGATAGCTTTTGACAAACAAGCTGAACGAATACTATGGGAAGTGACCACTGGTACTCAGGAGTACTTACGAGGAAAATAACAAAAAAATTTTAAGTACCTCTCTATTGCATATCTACACAACAAATAAAACATTTGTGTTAAAACTTTAGAAGTTAAGATTTTAAAACAAGATTCCCATTAAAAATACACCACACACACACACACACACACACACACACACACACACACACACACAGTGACCAAATAAAAACACCATATGAATACTGCAGGAAGGGCTCTAGGTCATCCACATCAACCCTGGTATCAGGTTCTCGAGTCTAGCCCATGGCTAAGTGCGAACACTCTCTGCATTAGTGTCTCAGGCACAGGGGGCCTGACTCCAGCAACCTTGAGGTTAAACTGTTATGTACATTATATCTACATGCGGATACAGTATTTTAAATTAGGAGGCAAGCACATGGATAAAGGTGTTACTCTACCAAATATCAGGAGATGGTTGGGAGCAGAGAACAGTTAATAAAGGAAAAGAGCTATATTACCTGTGGAGAGATAATATAACTGGCTTATAGTTCTTTAAATTAAAAGAAAGTGATACAGAAAGAAAATGTAATCCAAAAAATATTACTAAAGCAATCCAGAGAGATTTTTCCATTGTCCACCATGTATATTCCTAATACAAGTCAAAATTCATAATGACTTGGACAGTAAAAAGGAGAATGCTAACTTCTGAAAGAAAGCCCTGGACATTCTGGGTAGGTGTTTGGCACCCAAAATTTCACTGAAGAAGAATGCTGCTTCTTAGTATCAGACCAAAGTGCAAAGCATTATAGAGGCCAAGTCTTCTCTTGACGGTCGATTTACTTCCATAAAACAGACTGTTATGTTCCTGTATATGAACAATTTACATTTGAAGCATTAGATTTTTTTTCACTGAGGGGGTAGGAAGTGGGCTTCTGTTCTACTGGAAGTCGGTGAAGCTAAAGTATCCTTCTCAAAGTAGAGCCGGGATCAGAGGTGAGAAATGTCGGTACTTGAAGAGTGAGGCTGCTTTGCATCTACCCAGCGTCTAGAACCAATTCCAGCTTCATAACTCAGCTGTGAACGAACTCCCTTAGGCATTTGGTAGCCATGTAGCCAGTAGTTCAAGACTAGGAAACCCTGGGGGAGGGGGAGAGAGCATGGACGTTTATTCTCCTTAAACAAGGGCACAGCGAGTATGTCACAGTGCAACCATCTGCAGTCACACATCACAGACGCACGCACTCCTAATAGATGACTGCTTCTTAAATAACCAGCATTAAAAAAGCAGAAACTGCCAAGTTGTTTTAATGCACCACATTTATTTAAACTTCACAACAACCTTAAGAGGTAGAAACTACCAGTATACTCACTTCACAAATAAGAAAAATAAGGGTCAAAAAAATCTGTTTTTAATTCAGCGAATTACCCATTAAGTGACAGGGATTCAAAGAGAGGGATCCAATAAGTTGGCACCTTTTACTGCTTTACTAAAAATATGTATCAGATATGCTCAATGCTAGGTTTCATATTTAGTACAATCTTTATGACAAGCAGGGCATGTAACAGGACCACTGCATATCCTCAGAAGAGCCCTATCACTGTGGAACTAAAGTATGCAAAAGAAACAAACTATCCCTTCTAAATAAAATGTGAATATTGTAATCAGAAATTACTTTTTAAAATCACTTTTAAAAGAACAAATGTTGAGGCTACAGGGAAGACTATGGAATGTTCCATATTCTGAATATGGCCTGGATCAAAAACACATTTTAATCACCATCTCTCTACATTCACCCATGTATGCCACTATGTACACATACAGAGACACATATACACCCCTGCAACAGAACAGTCATCAGACAATGTTTACCATGACTATGAACAACGCTAGCTGATATTTCTGCTGTAAATCAAAACAAAGTCAAAACCCATTCAAATTATTTCACAATCACTGATGGGTCACAACCCTTTCCATACTCTGCACAAAGCTGTTTGCTGAGAAATCTAGTCACCTGAAGTATAAATTAAGACGGGGGAAAAAACTTTTAAAAATTATGTATGATTTTTATTTTACTTATTTGCTTGTTTAGTGTTGGTTTATTTTTGGTTTTTTTGAGACCGGGTCTTGCTGTGTAGTTTAGGCTGGCCTTAGTTCACTGTGTAGCCAGACTGGCCTCCAACTTGGAGCAGTCCTCCTAAATCAACCTCCTGAGTACTCAGATTATAGGTGTGCAACACCACACTTAACTTAATATTCTGTATGATTTTTAAAAGATAACTTTCCCAAAGGTTGTCATTTACATAAAGAACAAGAATCCTAACACGTTCACTTAATAAATTCAAGAAAAATTAAGTTTCATTCCTTACTGCTTTCCCATTAACTATATTTAAGATTACTTGAATTCTTTTGAAAATGCCAATACCCAGAGGTAAGAACTGTGTACTCCCAATACTGCTGATGGGAGTGAATGGAGCTGTATACTCTTCTGGACAGCAACTTAAGGTTGGGGCAAATACCAAGTAAGACAAATGAACATTAAAAGATAAGAAGAGGGAAACCATAAATATATAACAACAGGGCTTAGTCCAAACAACTGAACAATATTTGGCAATTAGGAACTATAATTTAGAAAAATACTGACATTGCTAACATGTAACAATTTTCTAATATGGAGGGGATGCATTTTTTAAAAGTAGTTATAAACCACGATATTAAAGGAGCTGGCATGATATACACTAAAGGAGTTAACAATGGTGAACCACAAGTAGGAGTTTACTTTCTTCTCTTGGCTTATATACTGTTCTCATTCATCATCATTTTATACTAAGAAAGAGCAGGATAAATTCTGTGCTACTATATATACAACTCTTCAGGGTTAATAAATTTTTGTAAAATCTATTGCTACATTTCCTAACACAGAAATAGTCTTCCCTGATAATTTTAGGGGTCAATATTTTACTACAAGGTTAAATCATCATTAAGGAAGTGCTTCTTATTAGGCAATTGGTGATAACTGTTTCATGTTTCAATCAAAGAAAAGAATTTGGCAAACAACAAAATCTGTAAGGCTGACTGCTGAGATTCTCTAACTCACTTTGAAGAGACAAACACATTTGTAGTTTCGTTGCTTGTTCTGGTTTATAGGAAATGATTACATTATAAAGCATGTAAACTTTAAAAACTTCTTAAGGCTTACTTGTAACTGTGGATCATAACAAGGTACTTATTCTTAGGTTCCAAAAAAAGAGATGGGAGAAGCATCTGAAACAAGTAACTTAAGTTTCCTTTCTATCACAGCCACAACTACTGCCTCATCCCTCAACCCTAAGAACACTGCTCGTAATACGCAAATGTCAATTTGTGAAAGTTTACTATGTTTATAAATTTTCTGTTAAGTATAACTGAAATGTGTATAGATGTTTTGGATATCACCACATGCCGCTTTAATAAACTGAGTACAAAGACACAAACATAATACAAATACAAATTAAATTTCAAAGGTACAATTAAATCGTTTCATGACACACCTACTTCCAAGACTATTCATTTCAGAAGTCCAACTACAGCTGTTCATGTACTATCATACATGCTTCTTTTATAATCTATATTCTTATGTTCTATTTTATGTGCAAAAATAAAAGGATTAAGATGCATTCTGAAGAAATGCACAGACGGAAATGTATAGTTTTAAGTTCCCATTAGAAAAGAAAAAGCAGAATCAATATAACAGTGTCCAAGACTTCTAAAAACTGCAAAACAATGCTTTAGTGAAGGTAAAGGTATAAATTAGAAATATAACTATGTTTATGGATTGTAAGACTCAACACCTGCTGAGACACAAATTATCCCCAAAATAATCCTTATATTGTTTGGTCCAGATTATAATCCAACCAACATCTTCCTAGAATATGATGACATTTAAAAAAATAATTTAAAAACCTAGAACAATCAAATTTTAAGAGCAGCAATCAAATCATCGCATCCCCAGTGGTTCTAGTGACTTAGAGCCAAGGACTGGCTTCTCAGGCTATACTGGACTGAGCCTCATGTATGGGGGGGCGTTAGGGACCCTCTGAGCAAACTGCTGTTTGATTCATCCTTGAGGGAATAGAGGTGACAGGAAGACTTGGCAGTCAGAGGAAGAGAGATCTTGAGTATTTTGTTGGTGGTGGGATGGTAGTTTTTGTTTTTTAACTTTAAAAAAAACTGAAAGACAGGAAAGAAAGAAAAAATGAAGAGATTCTTATGCCTCAAAATAAAATTCAAGAGACTTTACTGGTACCAAACTGGTATGACTGGGAAAATCGTTTAGGAAACTATTTTTTAAAAAACAGGAACCACATTCACCAGTGGTCAACACAGAAATCTGTAATATCCAGGACTCCAATTTTAGACCGTCTGATGATGTGACTATAAAGACTTAGCTTTAGGGCTGAGGATTTAGCTCAGTGGCGTAAGTGCCTGCCATGAGTTCTGGTTAAACCCCCCCTCACCCCCCAAAAAAGATCTAGCTTTTTATTAGAGACCTGGCTCTAACAGAGAGCTTGGTTCATGTCATAGGGGAACCCAAATCATGAAATTTGCCCGAAGGAAAGGAGAATACAGTTAGAAAAATTAAGAATACTCACCTGGAAAGGGTGAAAGTGCAGACTGTTATCTGGAGATGTAAGTGTATGTTCTGGAGGGAGAACGTGTCTCATTCTGGGCACTCGGAGGCACATTTAAGAAATCCCAAATCAAAATAGTGTCATCATGGGAGCTGCTGATGATCTGAAACTCATCAAACTGTAGCCGAAACACACGACCAGAATGTTCCTACAAAATATAACAACTCAATGAATAAAATAACATCTTTACAATTTCTCACAGCTCACAATGAAAATTCAGCACAAGCTGAAAATACAGCGACTCATCCAGGTTTCCCAAATAATTTTCCAAGGCTTACTAAGCATTGGCCTTTACCCTAAGAATAAATTCTTTTATTTTCCTTCTAGATTTTTCTTTCATTAAATTTTGTATCCTAGTTCCTGGCCCATTAACATGTCAAAGAAGAAAAATGACACTGTAACAGGCCTCAGAATTCTAAAGTAAACAGTATTTAACACCATTTTTATGCCATAAATACTAGAACCAGAAAAAACAGGTTTGTTTTTTAACATGACTACAAATATCTGCCTCAAACAACAGCTGATACCAAAATTCATGGTAAAACATTAATATTAAAATCATGAAAAAAAAAAAAAACAAGAATGGCCCTAACCATAATTCTGCATGTCCTGGCTAAAGCAAGAAATAAAGAAACAGAAACAAAAGATAAAACTACAAAAAATAAAGAAAATCTATCATTATGTTCAGATGTCTATTTCCTACAAAATACAACAGAATCAACTTGACTACTTGAAGTAATTACACTAGTAAAGTTGCTCAAATATCCTTAGCATGTAAAAACTAAATATTTACTCAGCCTTAAACAAGAAATCCTGTCATTTGCACTGACAATGGATCTGAAGGACATTATACTAAGTGAAATAAGCCAGGAACAGAAAGGTAAATACTGACCTCAATTATAAGTCAAAATCTAAAAAAGTCAGTCTCATACAAATAGGAAGTAGACAGCAAGGTGGTTGGGGTGCTAGGAGATGATGTTAATCAAATAGTATAACATGTGAGTGAGACTTCAGGAATGATCTCTTACACTGCACAAGAAGCTCAGTTAATAATAATAAAAATGTTTTAAAATTGCTAAAAGAACACACTTTTAATGTTCTTACCACCACCACCAAAAAAAAAAAAAAAAAAGATAAACTGGTCAAGTGATATATATGTTAATTTGCATGGCTAACTCTAACTCTTTTTTTTTTTCCGTCTTTTTCCTTTTTATCGGTACCAGGGATTGAACTCAAAGCTAACTCTAACTCTATCATGTGTATATTTTACCTCATAAAATACACTTTAACTCAACATAAAATTTAGAAATTAAAAATAAAGCATTCCTAATGGCAAAGCAATAATTCACAGAGTAAAGATTGGCAGCTGGGGTGGTAGCACAAGCATGTAATCCCAGCTACTTGGGAAACTCACTCAGAAAGACTGCAAGTTCAAGACCAGACTGAACAACATAGTGAGATCCTGTCTCAAAATCTAAAAAGGGGTAGAAATGTAGCTGAGTGGTACAGAACCTGCCCAAAATGTGGCAAGGCTCTGGGTTCAATCCCCAGTACTGTTTGGAGAGAAAGAGGAAAAAAAAAAAAAAAGATTTGAGGGAAAATACTACCTTAACAATACATAAATATGCTATTGTTAAAAATGTAACAGTGCAATGGTGGTAAACCTATGGCACACATGACACAATAGACTGTCTGAATCACCAGAAGCTCTAAATAGTTTGCCATCACTGACACAGTCACTGACAATAATATTAAGAAATCTCCTAAGGAAGGAAGGAAAGAACCGCATGTTCTATTAGTACACCAGTTCACCTACAAAAGAGGAAGCCTGCACTCACATCTAACAGCTCATGGTAATGTAAATGTCAGATATTTTCTGGATTTGGCTAACTAAAATTAACAGTCAATTTCTCTGAAGGCATATCGTGAGATCTGCAAGCTTTTTTATGATACACCTAGGCAGGGCTCTTTGCAGATGGTCACCCTACAGCACAGGCAACCAACCCGTTTTAATGGATCACATACCACCAATGTGCGCAAACACAATGTGCTGGCTGGGGCTCGAGGGTCAAGAGCAGCTTGCAAGTCCCAAACTTTAATTTTCCTAGAAAGGAATATGAGACTGTGATTAGTGGAAAAGTTAATATTTTATGTATTGTCAAGCATTTCTGTACCCTTGAACTGCCTATTATTAAACCATAGGGCAATGACTGTTTTGTTGTTGTTGTTGTTGTTTGTTTTATTTTGTTTTTTGAGACATGATCTCACTCTGTAGTACAAACTGGCCTTGAACTCACTGTGTAGCCTAGCTGGCCTTCAATTCATGACCATCCTCATGCCTCCACTTCTGCAGTGCAGGGATTACAGGCATGTGCCACCATACCCAGCTCAACAAATTCATGTTTTTTTATTTTTAGAACCAATTATATTTGATTTTGGAAAAATAAGAACCTGAACATTCTCCAAATTGCTAAAAACTAAAGAAACATTTTTTAAAGTAGGTAAGAAAACTTTAGATTTTATCTAAATTTATTTCCTGAAATAATAATCTATGTCTCTAAATTTATTAATCAAGAGGCTCTCTGGAACTAAGCTAGTGCTCCTAACAGAAGAAGCTAGTGCTCTGTGTGCAATCCCAAGGCTATCTTTCTCCAGAGGAAGCAAGTGCTAATAGTAATAAAGTATAACAGACCAACTGACCTATTCATATATTCATATATAACCTAAGGTCACTGTGAAAGATCTACAACTGCCATTTGCTCATTTTAAAAGATATAAGGTGTTTTTAGAAGATTTGTTCAATTGACCAAAAGGGGAAAAGAAGAAATCTGTTATTTAACATCTGGTTTATTTAGAGCTAAATAAAGGCAAAGAACTAAAGCCAAAGTTACTCCACAACTTGATGATGATGATTAAAACCTAAACTTAAAAACAACAGAGGCTCTGCTACTGTGTGACTTGGGGGAAGATTTACTTCATCTTTCTGGGGGTGTCCTCACTTGATCAACTGTATAACAATATCTACCATCCACCTTTCCATAGAGTAAGCACATAGTGTGGGATCTGGAATACACAGAGCTGCTTAAAATACAGCAGTTCTTTTTCTTCTTAAAATGATTATAGTGGTGCATCTGAAAATATGAAACACATACCCATCATAGGCACCGCTGACAATTCTCTTGTTATCAAACCGGATACATCGGACCAATTCTTCATGTCCCTCCAGGACTCTTAAGCAGGCACCACATTCGATATCCCAAAGCCTTGAATGAAAAAAGACACCCTTGCAACAGATTCCCACACAATTCACACAATCCTGAAGTGTTTTCTCTCTGTTCTCTACAGACAGGACTTTTCACTACTTATGAGTTCTTCACTTCTCACTTACACACATGAAGACACATAAGGACACTTATATCTCTTGTGCCCATTTTTTAAGCACTAATTAGAAGGAAATTTCACTTTCTATTGTATTTTCTTTTATACATTTTAAAACTTTTAAATCATAGGCATTTACTTTTTAAAATCAAATCAATAAGAAACTTCAATTATATGTAGTTCCTAGGCATTCCCTTGATATCTGAGTTAACAAAACCATGCAGCCAAACGATCTTAGAAGTACTTTTCAGGAAGAGATGGTAATTGCAGGTAGGAAAGGGAAAAAAAGCATGTTCAGGAAAGGAGACACAGAAAATACACACAGCCACGGACTGTGGCACACAGTCCGTGAGGCCTCCTGAGGTTATGACTGGTAGGCTAATATGTGGTCTCCCAATCCTGATGATGCTTTTCTCCCTGCATACATACTGTATTAGAGCTGTTTTGTTCATAAGGTCTGAGTAGGAGATTCACCATGTATGAACAGTACCTTGGAAATATAAGCCTAAAGACTACATTAAACCTTTTTTTCTATGTATATGATTAACATAACAATGATGTAGTTATGAGATTTTTTTTCTGTTGCAATTGATCTTTATACATTATTTACACGAACGAATCACTACAAACTACCATGTACAAAACAAAGAGAACATATTAAAGTTGTCATTCACTTTGTGAACGCTTCTCCACCAGGAACTCCTATCATACATACAATGAACATTTTCATACCACTGCCCTCAGCAAATATACTTTAAAAGATGATCACAGTAATTCAAACTTGTTATGCAGAGCCATTCAGCACTGTCACTATGACGCCAAAGCAGTTCCCCTCTATAAACTGCAGGGCAATGTACATTATTTATCTTGTAAAACCTCAGACACTGATATGAGGAAGTTAAGGACTGTTTACTCAGCAACCATCTACCTGCAGTGACACTCAGTGCAACGCACTTATGTACTAACTTATCTGGAGCATCACTGAGGCAGGTGTCCATTCAACTAGTTGATTCTTGTATTGAATAAATTTGATAAAATTGTCATTCTTATATTTCCTGTTATATTATCTTATAAAAATTAATGGGAAAATATGCAATTTTGGTCAATTTGTATTTAAATAATCGAACTGATAAGTGGTTAAACATTAAGCAGTACCATGAAGCATGATGAATATGATAAAACTTGTATGTATCTTAAAACTTAAAGAAAATCTACAATTTTGTATCACACTATATAAATACTAATTATTATATAAAACAAAAATATCAGTATAGCATTTTTTATTTTAAAATTAAAATGATGGTACAGAATTTCAAAACAAAATAATACGAGATGAACAATGGTTAATATATTACACATTGTTATCTTGGAAGTAGTTGCTCAGATCATACAATACCAGGATACCAGCATGAAACAATGATCAAACAACGAAAAGCACAAACTGTTCTGTTGAATGAGCTAACAGAGATTAGTAGTATAATTATCTATCATATATATATAATATCTTTTTTTTGCTTGCTTGCCTTAAAAAAAAATCTTGAACGTAATCTTTATTCTACACAGATTTTAGGAAATATAGTTATAAGTGCCAAAATTAGTCACAACTGTAAGGCTACTAGCATGTTCCAGTATAGTGAAAAACATGATAATTAAAAAGATATTTAAGGGATATTCTTAATAAGATATAAACTGTCTGTTTCTAGTCGTATTTTCAAAAAGCAAAGAGACTGAGTGTTATAAAGAGAAAGAGGCATTTGTAAAACAAATAACCAGCCAGAGAGGGTGATTTTGTAGTGCATGTCTCTCTTGGGAGAGACAGATCATGTACACACACTGCTGTTAGGGGGCAGCTGGGGCTCACAGGTAAGGGAAAGCAGAATGTGTTAGGCTGTAATACTCTCAACTATTCTGAGGTGTGCTGGTACTAAGTAATCCTGAGTAGAGTTGAGGATATAAAACTCCATGTGTTGAGAGAACCTTGAAAGAACATTTAGGGCGTACACAGCTCTCCACTTGAGTATGCAGAACTAAACAGATTTGTAAGGGATCCTAAGCTTTTCTTACCTGAAGCATCCCATTTACTCTGAGTTGTTTGAGCCTTACCACTACGAAATGAATGAACACTATGGCAAAAGTAACCTGCCCTATCAGCACATCAACTTGTACTCACCTGATGGTATTATCTGATGATCCACTGACCACCAGACGGTCCCTGTACTGGAGACAGGCAATGCCTCGCTTGTGCCCATTGAGAGTGCGCACAAATTCACAGGTGCTCGTGCTCCAGACCTACAGGACAAGCAGCAATGTTCTTGTGAATGAATGCAGGAAAGTCTTCCCACAACTCACCTTTTAAAAAGAATACAATTTCTAACAATGACTCAAGTACATGATTATGAACTATGGCCTCTTCTAACTCAAAATTGGAGCTGGGGTACTGACTATATAGTATAAAATTTTCTTGACTGCTGAGTGATAAAATCAGACTGAAATACAGAAAGCAACCGTGAAATCAGGTTTTAAGGTCTTCACAAAGGGAGTATTTCTTTAACGGTTCAGATATTCACTTACCTACAGGAATTTGCAACACATTTTGTGTTTTTACGCCAACTGACAAGTCAAATCCAATGTAACTGATATTTTAAAAATCTCCACCTTTCACACCCTCTTTTCAAGCAATTTCTTGAACAGTTTCATTTATTTTGACAAATCACACCTAATACTACATATATAAAATAATCTCCTCTCTTATAAAATCATCTACTAGACTTTAGATGTTCATTGGCTCAATATATGATAAACTAGCTAAGGACATACAAAGCAACTGCAGTGCTGTGAATTATTATGCCAGCTACATTTTTAGTTGAATGGACTGTTACAAGAAAACACTGAAGTAAGTCATTTTAACTTGGAATCAGACAATGGTTTCTTAGATATTACAACATCATCAACAACAACAGAAATTCTCTGGGAGGCTGAAGCAGCAAGTTTCCAAGTCTGAGCCCAGCCTGAGCATCTTTGTAAGATGCTTTTCTTGAAAATAAAATAAAACAAAATAAAATAAAATAAAATAGGTTGGTGATGTAGCCCAGTATGAAGGCCCTAGGTTCAAGCCTCAGTAAGAAGTAAATAAACAAACTAGATAGCATAATTAAAATTGTTAGCCAGGCATGATGATATGAGCCTGCAATTCCAGCACTCAGGAGGCTGAGGCAGGAGGACAGTTGCCAGTTTGAGACCAGCCTGAGCTCAAGACTACCTGAACTATATAGTGAGACCCTGTCTCAAAAGACCCCCCAAAAAAACCTTAAAATTAAAATCATTTATGCTTCAAAGGACACCATAAAGAAAATGAAAAGATATTCCTAAATTATGAAAGAAAATACTTGCAAAGCAACTTATGTATCTGATCAAGAACTTGTACTCAAAATGTTTTTTAAAACTTTACAACTCACAATAAAAACACAAATTAAGAGCTGGGGATTTAGCTCAGTGGCTTAAGCACCTGCCTGGCAAGCACAAGGTTGTGAGTTCAAGCCCCAGTACCAAAAATAAAAATAAAAAAACAAATTAGTCAATTTTTCAAATGGGTCAAAGATTTCAATAGACATTTCTCCAAAGAAGGTATATAAATGACCAACAAGCATCTGAAAAGATGTTCAATACCATTAGTCATTAGAGAATGCAAAGCAAAAACACAAAGAGGACTCCTACACACACTTTAAGATAATGGTAATTTTAAAAGATAATGACAAGTGTCGGCAATAAAACAGAAAAATTTGTCAGGCTGATATTAAGGAAGAGGTGTTTTAACTTTTAAGTACTGGTCTTATACCAACTGATATGAGTGTGAGGTAAATTAATACATACAAATGATTAGCTTCCAGGTTACCCAATCTAAAGTCTGATGCAAAATGGTCAGTGATTTGTAGAGCGAGGCATCAGAACACCGTACAGTGCCAGTACTTAAAAAAATGGTTCTTCGAGCAAGTTCAAGCATTCATACCCTACTGGTAGGATTATAAAATGGTTCAGCCACTTTGGAAAACAGTTTGGCAACTTCTCAAATTATTAAAAACACAGTTACCGTCCAAAGGGAACTGAAAATAAACAAACATACAAAAACTTATGCATAAATGTTTACAGCAGCATTATTCATAATAGCCAAAAATTGACAATTATCAAAATGTACACTGAAAAATGCATAAACAAAATATAGCACATCAACATAATGGCTTTTATTTGGTCATCAGAAAGAATAAAAAAATAAAAGGAATGAAACACTAATATGTGCTACACTAATACGGTATGAGCCTTGAATACACTATGCTAAGTAAAAAAATCCAGACACAAAAGACCACATGTTGTATAATTCTTTTTACATATAAAATTTCTAGAATAGGCAATTCGTAAAGATATTAGGTAGATTAGTGATTGCCACGGGATAGGGGAAGAGGGAGGAGACTGGTTGCTAATGGGTATGTTAAGGTTTTGGTTTAGATGTTCCCCTGAGGCTCATGCACTCATCGGTGAGGCTTTTCAGAGCTGGCTGGATCTAGCGTGTGACACTGGGACTGAGGATGTGTGGTTCTAAATTCCATGAATTGGAATAGCATAGTTCCGGGTATGGATGGCACCACCCAAAAAGTTTGTAGTTTAGGATGAAAGGGAGGCAAGCTCATTTCTGCTGCTGCTCACTGCTGCCTTCTGTTTGCTCTACCATGACATGAGCTGCTTCTCCTCTGCCGTGCCAACCTTCCTTAGAGCCAGCTGAATTCAGACTGACACTTTTACAGACTATGAACTGAAATAAACTCTTCCTCCTTTAATTTTGGGTGGCCACCATTTTGTCTCAGCAACTAGAGAAAGTAAGAAAGTGTACGAGATAGTTTAGACAAAAATGTGGTAAAAAGTTTTAAAACTATGTAGTGGCAGTGGGTTTTACATAACACTTTGAATGTACCAATGACTACTGAACTGTATACTTGAAAATGCTGGATCTTATGGTAAGGAACGTGTATCTTAGTAAAACTGTTATAAAACTATAAGAAAGCTAAAATTTACAAAAAGTACTAGGCATGATGGTATATTCCTATAATCCCAGCACTCAGAAGGCTGACGCAGAAAGGATCACTGTGAGTTCAAGGACAACCTGGGGTAGACAGTGAGTTCACGGCCAGTCTGAGCTACACAATAGAACCCTATTTCAAAAATAAGTAAACTAAGTAATTAATTAATTTTTACAAGTGGTAACATGGACACTAGAATCAGAATAGTATTTACCAATTCTGAGGTGATCTTAAATTACAACTCTTGTTGCCTAAATGAAGCTCACCACACGCTAAATGAAGTTCGCTCCATGAGTCTATGACACAGTACACCCTCAAATTAAGTGAATATTTCAAATCTAAGCTCTGTCACAACCTACCTGTGCAATCTCCAGTACAGTTCTTCACTCTCTGAACCACATCAATATAACAGGCAATACCATTCTCAAAAGGGAGATGATTATATGACGCTAACAGCCCACAGAACACATTTGACGGGTAAATTTTCTCCCCGCAACAAGGTTACTAGCAGTGTCACTTCACACCAACTGAGGACTGTTTTGTATTATTCCAGACCCGTAACTCTTCCCCCATCTCTGCTATAAAACTCCAGAAGCATGTTGAGTGAGAGGTACTTCAGGGCTCATGAGCACAAATGGAAAAGAATGGATATCTTGCTAAGTAACAGGCTGGTATAAACCTGTTGCAAAGGAAGAATAGGGAAGGTAAGGACTGCAGACACACTTACTTTGATGGTCCTGTCGCCAGAGGCAGACACAATGTACTTATCGTCAAAGTCTACTACATTGACAGCAGCACGGTGGCCAACCAGGACTCGGCGTAGAGTGATATCGGTGGCAGAAGCCATATCCCATACAGCAATGGAGCGGTCCTTGGAACAAGTGACCATCAGTCCATTGCTGAAGCGTAAGTGTAGCACAGCCTCATTGTGATGGATCAATGTGTTCAGAACTTCACCTGTGTTCACATCCCAGACTCTAGAGGAGGAAAAAAATACCCAACATTTACTCATAGGGACAGCCAGGGAAAGACTGATGTCTGAGCTTGAGGTCTATTATTAATATGCCTAAGTACACAGTTAATATGCCTAGGCACATGCTACAAGGAGGACCCCAGCAGCACTTTTCTTGCTGAAGAGGTTGCAGAGAAGGCACCTAGTTTAAGCTCTGCTCAGGTGTCTTTGGTACTCATGCATGCAAGCATATGCTGATGGCAAAAATGATTTCCTCAAGAAAGCAGGCTGTCAATGAGTCTGAGATTCCAGATGGAAGGAGGTTTTACAGCTGAGGAACTGAAGATGATCTCAAGTTGGAAGCTCCTGTTGACCTCTGGCAGACCATGAGTCTATCAGTTACTGCCTGCAAACGTAAGTCACGATACCTCATCACATCCATTATTTTACTCAATTGTGCTGTGGACAAAGCTAGGGTCTCCCGATGCTTCATGCTTGAGATATGGGATTACTAGGTAAGGCATCCCAGAGAAGTCAAGAATTTTTCTATAGTCCAATCTCTCTTTAAGGACAAAACCTCACAGAGCAAAGAGAAAATTCTATCTATAAAGCTGAAATGTGATCTATGGCTGAATTTAACTATTTGATGGCACTGAGGCAGGGAAGGGGTAGTAGGTGTGCTGTGGGCAAGGGTGGAGAAAGAGTCTAGGACTATGGCAAGACTGGTAACCAAAACTAACTTGAGAGGAATGCAAAGGGGGGAAACACCAGATCTCAAGGACAGACTGAGCTCTTACTATTCCAGCACTGTAAGCATACCAGTCAAATGACCCTTTCCAAGCATCAGGTCGGCACAGAAGAGGTACTTTCTTCTACTCCCCATGCCCTCCTGTACACCAGTAGTGTAGCTGAGGCTTTGCTTCATGACCTAAGATCCTGGACTCACCACTTCCCTGTTTCAAACCCTATGGAGACGAGAACTATGTAGGCCCCTAGGGATGTAAGAGTGGATATCAATTCTACTCTCTCAACTCCCTGCTAGCAATCACTGCTCCCCTTCCCTATAGAACAACAGTATTTTCAACTTTATCACTATGCTCCTGATGTGGCTACTAAAAACTAGTTTCCACTACTAGAAAGAGTACTAAAAGAGTATTTTCCTCCTTGAAAAACCACTTTATTTCAAAGAGAAAATTAAAAAATAACAAAACTTCAAAACTCATCGACCAGGGGTCAACAATGGTACATACACTTCACAACTGTCTTCCCCAAATCATTCACCCAGAGCACAAGACATCTACATTGAACTGCTAAAACACGAACACAAATCTTTCTCTTCAATGAACTCAGTAGTACAATTATCTTAGCTATTATATATATATATGTATATATGTATACATACAGACATATATACATTATATGTCTATATATGTCTAACAGAGTTCTGACGCAAATTCAAGATTCAAAATCTATTGTATGATTCTGAATATATTATCTGTCTAACAGAGTTATATATGTCTAACAGAGTTTTGACTCATACAAATTCAAGGTTCAAAATCTACTGTGTGATTCCAAATATATTATCTGAAAATTAATTCTCTGGTCTTAGTTTCTTAATAAACCTGTATAAAGAAAATAGCATCTACCTAAGGCAAAGACTGTTGTGAGAAACGGGACAAACTTAAAAATTAGTTTATCTGTCTACTCTGCTCAAATGCCTCTACATCAAAAATGATTTTTGAAATATAGCAAGTAACAACATTCACAAAGTATAGGCATGCTGATCCCAGAGGACAGTGTGCATCTCTGTCTCTCAGTGGAAGGGTTACAAAGTTATACTGGTGAAGCCAGACCACTCACCTCACTGTGGAATCTGAAGAGCCAGTTACAATGACACGTTCATCATACTGCAGACAGAGGACAGAGCCTGTGTGCCCTGTTAACACCTTCAAACACTCCAGGCTAGTTTTATCCCAGATCTATTGAGACAAGATCAACCACAAATAATGACTTAATGTAACACATTTTTCTGTCACCCCTTATGTTCTGAAACATAAAACATACCTGTGTTAAGAGTAGGTAAGAAAAAAAAAAAAGAGTAAATAAGGAAAATCAAATATTAAAATGGTGGGAAATTAAAAGGAATAGGGTAATACCAATTAACTTCCAGAACCAAATGTACCATTTTGCTTAATTTGTACACTTAGCTATTGCACTCACTACACTTGTCAACAGCCTTATCAGGAAATTTTTAAATAAAATCTGTGAAAAGTCAGCTCCTCCTCTGAAAATCCACATGACAGGGGCTGAGGGTTTAGCTCAGCAGCACAAGCACCTGCCTGGCAGGCATGAGGTCATGAGTTCAAACCCCCGTACCAAGAAGGAAGGGAGGAAGAGAGAGAAGGAAGGGAGGGAGGAAGGGAGGGAGGGAGGGAGGAAATCAACATGACAACTTTGGTAAACTATTAAAGAGTCCTATATGAGAAATACGTTTTATTAGAGTTAAATATTTAAGAATTATAATAAACTGTATTTAGTGGCATAATAACTATGTTTTTAAAAGATTAAATGCTCTTTTTCTCTCTTCTTTTACTGTCTTGTCTTTTCTAGAATGTCATATAGTTGGAAACTACACCATGTTGCCTTTTCAGATTGGCTGCTACTTAAATTTGGAAGCATGCATTTAAGGTTCTTCTGTACCTTTCATGGCTTGCTAATCTAATTTCCTTTTGTGATAAGAATCGTTGCATTATGTAGAATATATATATATATATATATATATGCACATAATGTATACACACATTTACACTCATTTATTAAGGGCACTTTAGCTTTTTACAACTAAGAATAAAGCTGTCATAATGTGCAGGTTTTAGAGTAGACATTAGTTTTCAACTCCTCTGAAAGTAGCGCAACTGCTGGATCATATGGTAAGAGTATGTTTAGTTATGTAATAACTGCCAAACTGTCTTCCAAAGTAGCTGTACCATTTTACATTTCTATGAGCAATAAATGAAGAGTTCCTGTTGCTCCATGCCAGCATTTGGTGCTGTCAGTGTTCTGGATTTTAGCCATACTAATAGATATGTAGTGGCAGCTCATTGTTGTTTTGATTTGCATTTTCCTGGTGCCATATGCTGTGGAGTGTCTTTACACATGCTGACTTGCCATCTGTATATCTCTTTTGGTAAGGTGTCTATTAAGCTCTTTGCCCATTATGGTTGTTTCTTATTGTTGAGTTTTAAAGGTTTTGAAAAATATCTGCTACAAATATTTTTCCAATCTGCAACTTATTTTCTTACGCTAAGCTGTATCTCACAGAGCAGTTTCTAATTTCAGTGAACCCTTATTTTTTTCTTTCATTGTGCTTTTTGGTGGTGCACCTAAAATGTCACCACAAAACCCAAGATCATCTCACCAGGTAAGTGGGTAACCTACTCACAGGTTTTTACTCAAGTGAACTAAAAACTATGTTCTCACAGAAACCTACATGCAGATTTACGACAGCTTGAGTCATAATTGTGAGAAATTATAAACAATTCAAATGTCTTTGAAATACAATAGATAAGCACAGTGCAGTGTACCCAATAAATGAAGTACTAGTCAGCAAAAAAGAAGAATGAACAACATAAATGTGTCTCCAGTGCACTATACTAAATATAAAAGGCCAGACTCAAAAGGTTACAAATTACACAAACCCACTAATAAAAACATTCTGAAAAAGGCAAAAAAAATATAGAGATGGAAAAAAGATTGTTGGTTTCCAGAGTGTGGGTAGAAGTGGGTGAGAAGAAGTGACTACAAAGGAAGAGGACAAGGGGATTTGATGGAACAGCGGAACTGTTGTGTGCCTTGTTATTACAGCTGTATGCCTCTACGTGCCTCCTTTACATCAAACAGCAAACTTTCTTCTATGTAAATTATAACTAGAATAAACCTTCTTTAAAAACCTTTAATGTTTTCTTAAACGTAAGGAAATAAACTACAAACAATGTAAAATTTTATCAGGTCAGCCATCAAACATTAAAATAAACACGGAAAAATCATGCAGAATATCAGCTACTTAAAAATGAAAACAATTCAAGTAATTTTATTATTTTTCATATTATCATCTGAGCCTTTCTCAAAAGCCATAATAGGCAATGAATTGGACTTACAGGCAAACTAGTAATATTCTCACCAGTCAGCAAAGTATTCAAAGGCCGTGGGAGACGGATAGTTTCTACTTCACCTCTACAGAGACTACAGAACATGAAGGCACTTAGAGGAGGGTAAGAAGTGAGACAAGCCAGGGCCTTTATTAGTTACAGGGAAATGCTCTGGCTCTAGTTTTTCAGAACCACCCTGGGAGCTGCCATAGTTGAGTGGAAGAGATAAAAACCAGTCTGTAGTAAATGGAAAGACTGTCACATCTAGTGTCTGGCACATAGCCATAATTCTAAAAATAACACGTACAAAATGTAGTCATTCACCTTAATAGAGTTATCTCGTAAGCCACTGATAATTTTTTCATCATCATATTGTAAACAGTAGACACCTTTACTATTTTCAGAGCGGCACTGAATCCTCTGCAAGTTGTGTCGTCCACACCGCCAGTTAGATTCTATAGTCTGGGGAGAAAAAGGAGACAAGAGATGAGTTTTTGTGAATCAACTCTTCTATTAGGCTTCAGAATTTGGGGTCGCTTCCAGAAGCAGCATACCACTGATATCCCAGTCTTGGTTTGCATAACTGTCTGTGGAAAGGAATCATGCTCTTTTCCAAGTAAGACATTAGCCCAACAATGTTTTTTCTCAAACTCTCCCTGCCCATCTGGCAACTATCACAGGATTTCCAATGAGTTTTGGGTTAGGTCTGAAATGGCCTAGACAGAATTCAATATGTATAAAGAATTTCATTTGCACCCAAAACATACAAATAAATAGTAACTCACTGGGTCACCAACTAATGCCAATTAAAATATTTGGCAAAAGTCTGCAGCCACCATTAACTATATACTCAAAATCTATGTATCCAACCAAAGTACCTGATCACTGAAAAAAGATACTGTAACTAGTACAGTATATGCCAAGGAGATAAAAAAAATTTTTGTTATCATTTTTAATCTCCCATTAGGATGGCACATTTCAGCCTTGGATTCTCATTCTTTCCTCACTCATGAAACAACTGAGATGTTAGTATATTTCAGGTTCTACACTAGACATTAGAAATTTTTAAAAGTAAATGAAAAACATCTTACATTGAAAAGTGGCATTTCTCTGGTACTGAGGGACAGTATCTAGAACTAGATCCCCAGACAGACTCTGAATTACAAAGGTTCAACTTAAAATTATTTCAGTTTCATAGTGTGAAAGCAGTACATGTTCAGCAGAAGCTGTGCCTTCTTTAACCTGGCTAGCCCTCTGCAATGCTGGGCAGCGGCAGTGAGCCACAGCTCCCAGTTAGTCACTCGATCAAAAAGTGAAATAACTGAAACTCTGTGGTGCGCTGCGCTGCTAAGATAGGCTGTTATTAAGGTTTGGTGAATTCAATGCATTTTCAACTTAGGATATTTTCACATAACAATGTAATCTCTCATAAATCAAAAAGCACCTAAACTTCAAACTAAATTTAGTTGGTTAGAAGATCAACACAATATATTTGAAAGGATTTTCATTATTGCCTTTTAATAAACAAGGGCAGAGTCTAACTTGCCTATGACCACAGGACTAATCATTGGAATGCCTGGAAATTACATCCAGTTCTTCTCACTTAGTCCATGCTTTTGCTATAATCCTACCTCTTGAGGCAGTGACCACAGAACATAAAATCTGGAACAATTCAGATAAAATATCAGTACCAAATGAGTGATAAAATGTCTATGTGCTGCAGGACTTGAAGGAGGTCAAGAGAATCTAGCCTGAGATCACTAGGCCAAGGTGAATGAGGAGGTAGGCCACGTCCAGAGCACTAGGACACCTAGCCTTGGGTACTAGACATGAGGGATTTTTCAGAACTCAAAAATATAATGTCTCTACAAAAAGCAATCTGTCTGAATTCCTGGTTCTTGAAATCAGGGGATAATAAGGGACTACAATAACTGGTTATACTCAGTTTAGGACACAGTTTAATAGATTATCTCTGAGTAACTAAAAGCTCATCTTTACTCACAGTAAGACCCTAATTACTAGCTCTGTTGATATCTAACAAATCATATTTATTCCTTTTGAAGGCAGTATGCTTCTATACTCTAAAAATTTACTGAATACTATTATAATTTAGAGAAGTAATACATATGAGGTAGTAATTCTCCCATCTCAGCATGCTATGCATTCCAGGAAAATGCTGACTTAGGAGGCAAGGTGTACTGGTAACTGTGACTCTAGGCAATAGTTCCCCATGTGCATCTTTTGTAAGTTACAAGAGTCAATAGACGATTGTATGACGCCAAATGGACTCAAAGTATTACAAAGATTAATATATAACCTGTCTTATATATATTATGTGTTGTTTTTAAATTCATGTAACTTCTCTTTGGTTTAAAACACAAAACTGCTTTTAAAATGCTATTAAACTAGTAAGTAGTTTTATTATATGCTCCTCAATTAACAGAAAAGCATATCAATTATCATATGAGTTTAAAAAATATTTTTTAATTCAAAAAGAGGAATAGGGGAGATTTCCCATGTTCCCCCATTCTGCTTTTTAGAGCTCGGTGAGTTGATCATGATCTTTTACTCCATCCTAAGTTCTAAAGATATAAAAAAAGATTAAAGAGAATAGCCAGGGTAAGGCCAAACTTTTAGCTTGTGATATATCAGTCCCTGAGACACTTGTACTGAATCTCCTGACATCATATGTAACATCTACTTCTAACCCTCAATCAAGAGCTACAGGATAGGACTTCATTAAATATCACACTGTGATTTTAAGTTGCATGGAAGTCAAGAAATGAAATAGCTTCTCAGGGCCAGAGATTTAGCTCAGTGTCGTAAGCAAATGCCTGGCAAGCACAAGGTCATGAGTTCTATCCCCAGTACCAAAAAAATGAAAAAAAAAAGAAATAACTTCTTAGTGTTTATAAAAATCTTACTTTCTAAAATGCACCTCTGAGGGGCTGGGGATTTAGCTCAGCGGCATAAGCACCTGCCTTGCAAGCAGGCGGTCGTGAGTTCGATCCCCGGTACCGATAAAAATGAAAAAGACAAAAAATAAAAAAAAATAAAATAAAATGCACCTCTGAATTAAAAAAAAATTTTTTTTGCAAATGATTCTTGTTGGCTGGATGAGGAAGTCTCCTGTTACTGAAAAAAAATCAGGGCTACAGCACTTGCTTAGCAGGCATAATGCCCTGGGTTGACTTTCCAGTACTATAATTTAAATTATTTTTACTTAAAAAATTTTTTTAGAAATCATTAGGTTCCTGAATCCTATGACAAGTGTAAGTTGTCAGAGCCAGATCCCAGCTAGTTGAGCAGCCGTCCAGGGACTCCTCAGATTGCCTTCTTCTTAACTCCCAAGGCCACCCACACGAGAAAGCAGCCCTTCCTGCTGACTGTGCCTGCCCAAAACACTACCACCATGTGTGACCACCTCAACCTTTCCTTGAATACTCCTTAGCCAGATCTTTTTTTTTTTTTTTTGGGGGGGGGGGCAGATCTGTAAGCATGGCAGGCAGCCCATTGTGGCAGAAAATACCCAGGACAAGTAGCAGTCTTGGCAAGTGACTCAGACCATCTGAGCAGCAGTTTCCTCCTCTATAAAAATGGGAATAGTACCATCTACACCCTCAAACTACTGCACAGATCATGTGAAGTGCTCCTCATAGTGTCCACTGAGAATACTGACAGAAACAGTGGCTGGGACCAAAAACACCAAACAAAAAGCAACAGCAATGATGACAATAACCAAAAACCCAATTCCCACCCCAAAAGAAAACACTACCAACACCATCATCAAATTGCCAGGAATCACTGTCTAAGTGGATACTTAATGCCAATCACCTGAGCAACTTGAAGTGTGCCACTGGAAGGCAGAGCACCTTCCTGGGAATTCCACTATTCTATTAGTGTCAGCAGCAGGAACACAAGTCATACACAGGTGCACTTCTTTAATTACGTGAGTACCTGCCATTTCACTTAGCCATCATGCAATACAGCTACTGTTGAGGAAAATTTCATGTTTTTGAGAACTTGTAAAATCCCCTTACCCGGCGCAAATTTTCAAAATCCTGGGAAAGTAGCCATGATACACAGAGTATACAGCAGCATTTAAATTGGCAATAGAGTGAAAACAGATGTCTGAGTATGGAGGAATAACATTATTTTTAGAAGCCTAAACACAACTGGGTGGGTGGGCAAGTTTCAGCATTTTCTCATCCGGACAATGTTAATATCAAGTTTTCAAACCACAAAAAAGCTCCCTACTTTTTCTGAATATAATGTGGCTTATTAAAAGGTGTGATACAATACACCATCATTTTCCCAATGGTCTGTTCCAAGGAGAATGCTTCAAAGCCTTTATTCTAGTGAGTAAAGCAAGAGAAAGAGGTATATCATATGAAGGACTTTGTCACTACACTGAAACGGGAAAAGAGAAAATCCAATTCAGGACATCAGTCTGTTGTAACAATGCTCACCTCTGAAGCTGTAAATGGGCAACTGGGGAGGGGGGCAGCACATAAAAATCCACTTGACATTCCGGGTGTTAATTTATCTTTTGGCAATGTACTTAAAATGCTTTAAAGTGGCACCTTTCCCATATCTGGACTAAAATGAAGCCAATTAATCTTATCTTAACTCACAGCCTTTTATCAACTAACAGTCAAGGTCACTGAGTACTTTTACACTTAAAAGATGAGAAGACCAAACTGAAATTTTGTAGGCATAAAATAACATTCTTTTTTCTTCCTCACCTCTTAAATTTTCCACTCTGAAAATAAAAAACAAGATGGGGGTATAGCTCAGTGTTGCAGTACCTGTCTGGCAAGCATCAAGGTCCTGAGTTTGATTCCCAGTACCCACTGAATCCAAAAAAGAAAAGAAAAAAATAACAACTATAAGCCTAGAGCTATATAGACCTTAGTTAAAAATCTCATCTCATCCATTTATCTATATAGCAAGTTCTAAACCTTTAATCTGTTTCCTCTTATAACAATAAAGGTAATAGTATGTACACTGCTATAAAACTTAAGTGCAATAACCTATGCAAATCACCCAACGTAGTTCCTGGTATACCATAATGGCTCAAAATAGGGTGCCTATTATTATATTCTGCTTATAAGAATCTCATACCAGCCACATGAGCAGAGCCAAGTTCATGACAATTCCTCATTTATTTGATCCATGGATCACAGAAAGAACTTGCTACATACATGTATGTGCCCCTGACAGAATAAAGCATACTCTCACAGCAGAAGTAAAGAACTGTGTTTTGGGGTGGTACAAGTGATCTGTAAGAAAGCTATCAGGTTGACACCAGACTCCATTCCTCACTAGCTATGGGATCCAGAGCAAGCCATTTAATCTTCTTCAGTCCATGTTTTAATTTTAAATAAGGACTTGACCTACTTTGCAGGTTTTGGCCAGAATGTTCATTGAAAAAATGTATTATAAAATGCTAAACAAAGTATCTGGCACAAGTAAATGCTCTATTAGTGGTACATTATTTTTGTCATTATTACTATTACTGAATATACTAAAGTATAAACATCATTCCTTATACTACAAAATTTAGCCCACAAAAATCTGGAGGAGATGCTTGTGGCCAACCAATGGGTTTTCCTAAACCACATTTTAAGAACCACTAGGAAGACCACCATGATGCAGAAGTTTTGTATCAAACAGGACTCTGTCCCCCACCCCCATAGTCCTTTTTCCCCTCACATCTGCCTCCTCCACTAAAAAATATTATTTTAGCCTACGAAAACAGTTACAGTAGGTGGTGTCACACACTGTCGTATGACAGGATACTGAGTTCACACTGTCAATTATAACAAAAGTCAAAAGGATTACATAAAATAAGCCATTGTCACCAAATCTTCAACTTGATCAAAGTTCTTACAGAGTTCCTGCTTATTGCTGACCGAATTCAAGCATTTTCCTTTTCTTCACTCTTTTTTTTTTTTTGGTACCAGGGATCGAACTCACAACCTCACGCTTACGAGGCAGACACTTATGCCGCTGAGCTAAATCCCCTGCCCGCATTTTCCTTTTCAAATAAGCAAACTGATAAAATCATTCAAGGAAACTTGAAGATACTTTGAAATTATTGCAAAACAACAGGACGTAAAATACATCTAAGACCCCTATACAAGCATTTTTCTTAGTACAGTTGTCTAAAGGTAAGACTCGGACCCCTCCTACAAAATACACATAAACTGATCTAAGACTAAACAACACTAAATTTCACCTACTAATAATCAACCTACTAACTGCAAGGACAATGTATTCTAAGTTTTGCATGCCAATGGATCCACTAGGCCCTAAACTTTACGATTTTCTATTATTTAACCTTTCCTAAAAGGTTACATTCTGAGAGCAGACTACTCAAAACAAACAAACAACAACAACAACAACAAAAAAAAAAAACGTGTTTCAAATCATAATATTCTGGTCACAATCTGATTTACTGCTAAAAGAATGATTCCATTAGTCCACATCTGACTGAACAGGTAAGGGAGAGGGGAGCTGAGGAGACAGGATCTAAAAAAACACATGTTTCTCCATTAATGAATTCTGGCACAATGACTTTTATGTCTATCACCTGGGGGAGACGATTACTTTACATTTGGGAAACTGCGTGTAACTTTATGGGAGACACAGCATTGCCTAGTGAAGGCTGAACTTTTCTGCCAAGGAGGAAATAGTGAAGTAACCAAGACCAGCCAGGAACACGTGTGAAAGAGTTAATGAGAAATGCCTGTGCATGTCTTTCCTGGTTCAAGGGAAAGGGCTCAATAATAAAACCAAACTAATTAGAACACATGACCAATATCAAACATCTCTAATGTTTCTCATCAAGTTTACAGAGTTTTACTGGTCTGGGAAACTTACAATCAAAGCCAAAATGGTCCTGGAGCATAATTTGTTCTATAAAACCACTTAACTAATATTTAGAATAATTTCTGAACCATTTTGATGAAAATTATGGATAACTTAGAGAAACATAATTTACAGAGAAACATACAAATGTGTCTTCTCCAGAGATGACTCAAAAATTTAAAACTTCAATTACCTTTTTAAAAAAGTAGGTCTTGAGTTTTAGAAAAGGTATCAAATTAGAATAAAAAGCTATTTTGGGGTTAGTGATTCACTGGTAGCCTTTCAGAAGGGTTTCATGTTTTAGAAACATTAGGTTTTACAGAAGACAAGACTTACTCTGAAGAGCTGCAGATGATATATTATGACATTTACCAGAAAAACTCAACTTAAAAAAAAAAAAAAGGCCAGCTCCATGATTTTAAAACAAAAGAACACTCTAAGGCAACATAAAAGATTGAGAACAAGACACAAAAAGCCCATAAAACAGATAAATCATAAAGTTACCTCTATGTCCTGAATAATCTTTGGGTATAACGATCTATAAAATGAATTGGGAGGGCCATCTGTGGGTCTGTTTTTAAACAGGTACTGGTCCCTGGCAAATAAAAGCAAACAGATGTTACATTTTTGCATATAAAAAGGTACATTTTATTTAAACATAGTGCTTACAAAGATACCTATCTTTTATGTTTTTTAACTTGCATTGAGTTTTAATGGTTCAAAAGCAAAATTTCTAACAAAATTTTCTTGTCAGAGACAAGTTTAGTCCAATTACAGCTATCTGACATGATGCTGGCCTTTTGTTTCTGAGTGCCAACATGAAACAATGTAGACTTTCACTCTAGAGAGGTTTATTTAAAAGTGCTAACATAGCTCTATGAAAAAATCTAACTTAGTCCACATCAAACTTTTTTCCATAAAGAAAATATAGCTCAGCCAGACATGGTGCCACATGTCTATTAATCCCAACCCTCTGGAGCCAGGAAGACCCTAAGTTTGAGCCCAGCCTAGGCAACTTAGTAATTCAGCAAGACCTTATCTTAAATAAAAATAAAAAGAGCTGAGAATAAAGCTTAGTGTGAAGGTTCTAGGCCAACGAAAAGGGATAGCAAGATAGGAAGGGAGGGAAGATAGAGAACAGGAGAAAGAGAATGAGGAGTGAGAGGAGAAGGAAGGAAAGAAGGAAATAGAGCCCCAACCTTCGCTCTCATCATCCCTGTATGTCTGTTCATAGCTCGCACCCCCTACCCCGCCCGTCTCTCTCGATTAATTGGACCAGGCCACTGTCATGCATAGAGCTACAAGGTTTAAGTACATAGGTTTCCTCTGAAAAATCTTGTCATTGTACCTCTTACATCCTTAACCAGGAATAATAACAAATAGTAAAATGGTATTACTTGACTCATATTTTTCTTTTGTCTTATGTATCTTTTGATGATAGTATCATTGCCTAAGGAAAAAGCATAAATTTAAAGCTTTGAAAAGCTGAATCACTCAAACTAAACAAAATCCTGTAACAGTTAATAGAGGAAATTTTGTTTCAAAAAAACTTTTAAGAGCTGTAAATTTCCCCCCAATCCTTGACCTTCTTGTTTAAAATAAGCCAACACACTTCCAAGTATAATTGCTTTCTTAAATAATGAGACTGACTCTATGTCAGACTTTTTTTTCCAAAGGAATAAGCAATCCGCGTACTTACCACCCTCTTCTTTCTGAAAGTCCTTTCCAGAGAGGATCAGTGCGTACCATTCGTTCAATCAGCTTCTTCCAAAGCATGCCTTCTGAGATCACTCGCTGCCATTCTTTACAGACCAGCTCTGCTGCACACAGAGATCTGGCGTCCAGGTAGGAAAGAATGTTTTCTGCTATGTGATCTAAGCCTTGCTCTACAAAACATAAAAAGTAATGAAGGGATGGACAGGAAGGTACAAACACAACTATGATATACAAATGTACAAGTGCTATATATAGACGTATGCACATTTTATTATAAAACAACTGATGGCAAACTGTTCCGTGTAAAAGCTAACTCTGGAAAGTTCTGTATTTGTCATATTATAATAAAAAGTTATTTTCACCTTCTTTTACATAATTCTTACAAAACACCTATGGGGTAATGTCTCCCCAGATTTTACAGATGAGATACAGAGAAGTGCAAACACTCAAGGCTGTGCTGAGTGGTAAAGCCAAGACAAGAACTCAGGTTTCCTGCTACGAAATTTGTGCTCATTCCCTTTATTTACAACATCCACCAGTCCAGCCCTCTGAGACACCCTATGAACTAAGAAAATCAAAAAGGTAAAAGTGACTCATCTTTAAAAGCTTACAAAGTTAAATGCAAGCCAAATGTTCAAATCAGTTGTGTTTAGATCTATCTTTGTCAAACATTTTATCTTCTTCTTGTGCATAGCTACTTTATGTTCCTGAACAGATGGTAAGAATCCTCAAAAGCAACAGCCACATGTTTATAAGTTTTGGAACATTGGAAATTATTGGGTTCAACAGCCCACACAATTCAAGTGTCCTCACATGGATAATCATTCAAGATTCAGCGTCCATCTGACCTTTACAAAGAAAGAAGATAGCAATTGGCAATACTGTGCTATCTGTCAATTTCCTTTCAGTAGTTCTGGTAGTGTCCAATATAATGACATGAAATGAAGCACCTCTGCAATTCTGTTCTGTTTAATTCTGTTCTGTTCACTATCTACTAGTTCTTACCATTTCTACAACATGTATCAACATGGTAAAACAAGTATCAAAATATCCCTTTGTCTTGATTTTCTACCATACAAAATGGTAATGATTAGTAACAACTGCCCTTTCTCACACTAAGAATCAAATAAACACTTATACAAAAGATTGTAAAGATAATAAAGCACTTTACTAGATTAATGTTCGTTCTTTTTCAAAATAAAGAGTCAGAATAACTTTAAGCTTAGTGTTAAAGATCAGGATGTAAGTAAATCACTAAATTTTCAGAACCTGTTTCCTCATCCTTATTAAATAGGGGCAATAGGGGCTGGGGATTTAGCTCAGCGGCATAAGCGCTTGCCTTGCAAGCAGGCAGTCATGAGTTCGATCCCTGGTACCAATAAAAAGGAAAAAGACAAAAAAAATAGGGGCAACCATCTCTGCTTAATTTTGAAAATATCAAAATGAAATGATACCTAACAACTGCTTTACAGCCAAGCACAATAGCACACACCTGTCATGAGAGGTTCTCAGGAAGCTGAGAGTAGAGAACGGTAAGTTTGAGGTTAATCTGAGCAACTTAAACCAGATCCTTTCAAATAGACAGACAAGCAGGCAGGCAGGCAGGCTGGCTCAGTAGCACAGCATTTGTTTAGTATGTGAGACTTTGGGTTTTATTCCCGGCACTCCTACTCTGGATTAGATCTAATAGTTAACAATAACAAAGACTTCATTGGGACCACTATCCTTTCTTATACTCATTATTATATTATAGCTAATACGGTCAAAGACTGAACTGCCTTCATCTAACAGTCACAGTAGACTCCTACAGTGGCAAAAGAGTTAATCCAAAGTGTCTCTTTCAGAAATATCATTAAAACATTTTCCCCAAATGTGCAAGTGTACAGCCAGTTGAAAAGGTAGGGGGCAGCTTCTTGCAGGAGTTTATATTTATCCTTACTATAATTCACCTCCAAAGTTCTATCTGACTCAATCATTTCCGACTTTAGAATTCTGATTTTCATCATGTAACAGATCTGATGATGGGTAATCGAATGTCTTTATTCCAAGTTGTGGACATGTTAAATGGGTCAGAACCAAGGACAGCACCCTTGGAGCTAGCTATCTCCCTCCAGGCTATCTATCACTGATGCATTCACGAAAGACACCAACACTCAGCCCTGAAGCTCAGTGACCTTCTTGGATGTTAAGTGTTCAGCTTTCCTCTCTCTAGACCTCAAGAACATCTGGGAAAACTGTTCCATGAAGGTATTACCATCTTTATATCATTCATTCTTCTTTGGCCTATGCTACTACTACTTCTATCTTGTATGGTAACTTTATCCAAAAATGAAATGTGTATATGGTTTAATAATCCTCTGTGTTCCCTTGCTGGTGTTTATTACACTTACAATATTTTATTTACATGTTGGCACCAGCTGCTTTGTGTCCTTTTTTAATATATAAAATTCACGGTCACTTTAGAAAAACTGAAAAAAATGCATATAAGCAAAATGAAAAAAAAAATTCGAAGTCCTAAACCCTACCTCTAAGACATAACAGCTTTATATAATACCCTATACAATACCCTTCTCGGTTTATACAATCCTACATGATCTTTTCAGATACTGATCAACCTTTGAAATTGAGAATTCTGTTAGGATATAACATCACATTTAACAGCTAATATCTCCCTAAACATATCTTCTACAGTTCTTAAAACAAGGAAATATGTTTACTTATCACCTCCAATTATCATGCAGAACACCAAATGCAGCTGTATATGCTGTACTGTGGACACTTGTGCCCAACAGCTCTGCACACTAGTTTTTAATTCTCAGTGTTTCACAATTCTAACAATCACAACCACAGGAATTACTATTTTCACAGCAAACATGTTTTCAGGCCTATTTATTTGCTGGATTTCTAAACAAATGCACAACTTTCTTGACTATATTTTCTTGTTTTAAGATCATTATGTTTAGTGGAGAAAAAAAGTCAAATGAGAGTTAAGCTAAATCAAAATACTATACACTGTTTCCTTCTGTGGTCACTACACTATCTATTCCGAGCATATTATCCCTTCGTTTTTGTAATTTTCCTCCAAATAATTGATTACTGTGTCTTCCACCCTCTTGGATTAAACATCTTGATCAATTTTACATTTTGTTTGGTCTTCATACTATGCTCAAAATTCACCTTCTGTGAATTTTCATGATCACGTGCCCTTTTCTATGCTTAATTAAAATCTATAAATTACATATATGTCTCTCCATCACTATGGCTGAGAAAATAATTGTATCATAATTTCAAATTACAGGATATCTCGACCCTGTTTAAATCACAGTTTCTCATTACATAGGTAAAATAAATAAATAAATAAATAAATCGCAGTTTCTTTTAGAATCTTTCCACCAACTAAAAGACTCAGATCTCCTATGAATTTTTCTAGTTCTGTGATATCTATCTGACATCCTTTTGAAGTTTTTACGCATGATATTTAAAGTCACTTTTTAAAAGTCTGCATTACTGTCTCAACTTCCAGGAAGATGGTGCAACAGTAAGCAGCAGAATAAACAGCCTCTCTAAGACAAACAGTCCAGATGCTGGAATACAGCATTGTGGGGAAGACAAGAAGGAAGCAAGTGGGTATCCTGGACCAGGAAAAACCTAAAGTGAGAACTGAAGCCCACAGAGAGAGTAAAAAAGAAAAAGAAGGTGGTAGCTGGCAGCACCTTCACCCACAGCCAGACCTGCTGTGTGAGAGGAGCTGCCGGATCTGGGGATGCAGGGTCACGGTGGTGGTGGTAGCTGGCAAGCCTGGAAGCTCCTGCAAAGAGACGCAGCAGTGCAGAGGAGCGGCGGATGCAGAGGACTGCACTTGCTGGTGGTTAGTGCAGAGGTTTCAGTTCTCCTGCAGCACAGAGCGACTGACCGGGAGCCATTTTTGGTGTTGGGCAGGTTACGTCTGGAACCAGAACTGCAGCCCGCTCCCTCCAGCAGCTCCCAGCTGGAGCAGACTGATAGAAATAGCTTGGACTGAGCCCTGCCCTTGTGCGCATTCCAACTGCCATCAGGGAGGTCCCTACAGGTAACCAGCTTGGCCTGGAGATGGAGGCCAGCCCCGCCGTGCAGCTGCAGTAGGTGCTCCCTGCCATTAACCAGCTCAGTAGGGAGGTGGCAGCTGGCCCACATCCCAACCCCCTCAGCACACACTCTGGCAACCACCATTGTAGATCTAGATCCCAGATCCTGCAGGTAACCAGCTAGGAAGCAGCGGGCCAGCCCCGCCCTGCATGTATGCCCACAACCACCTGCAGGCTGGGAAAAGCAGCGAACAATCCTGCACCTGCGCACCGAATGGTCATCATCAGACATTGGCAGCCAGCACTGACTGAAAGAACCAAACAGTCTCGCTTCACAAAAATTATAGCCAGTATGGTAAGTGCCTGGGACCCAACTACCCACTTGTCCAGAAAAACCCAGGAATATGTCAAGAGGAAGGAGCAAAAGGCAGTCTCTGGCCTCTAACCCAAGCAGATCTGGTCCAGGAGATGTAAACACGGAAGAGATCCAGGAGTTACACACCTGAAATTTCTGAAGTAATGGCAACCAAAGTAAAGAAACAACTTCATGAGGCTATAAAAATAATAAAAGAATTGCTAAGTACCTCTAAAGAAGACACAGATTAAAAAATAGAGGAGCACAGGAAAACTTTGAATGAATATAAAAAAGACTAAGAAGACATGAAACAGATTCAAAGAGAATTCCAGGAAATTAAAAACTCCACTGAAAGCTGGCAAAACTGCCTAAAAGAAACTAAAGAAAGACTTTCAAACCTTGAAGACTGGGTTGCAGCTTGCTATCACAAAAGGAAAGATCTAAAAATAACAAGGAACCAGGAAGTAACAATTTAACGGCTGCAAGACAACCCAAAAGAAACATAACTTAAGAATAATAAATGTGAGTAAAAAAGCAGGAGTCCACACAAACGACACTAAAAGTCTATTTACAGAAATAATTTCAGAAAATTTCCCAAGCAGAAGAAAAGGAAATGATAGATAAGTGAGGCATACAGAACTCCAGCTAGCCATAACCAACATAAATCTACACCCAGACATAATCAGCATCCCAGAAATTAAATGCAAGAACAGAATATTAAAAGCTGTTAGAGAAAAGAAACAGGTCACCT